TCAGGGATGTATGACAAGTAACTACAGTAAGAGTACAGTTCACAATTGAAAAATGCACCAAATAAACTGTAGATGTTGAACAATAGGCTATAGCAGCAAATGAAAAGATCTTATATATCGTTGCCATAGTCAGGTTTTGGTCAGGTTTTAGCCCAATTTGGGTGAAACCTGAACCTGACCTTGTGGAATGGATGGCTCAGGTAGATGGGGGCAGGAGCAGGAACTGAGATTGATGTCCAGAATCCCCAGGATGTATATACAAAATATTACATAATCAAGAGGAGATTGTCTACCTCCAACAGACCTGAGGTTCAGTTCCAGATTGGTTTGGTTCAGGTTTAAACCTGAAACCTATATGGGAGAAGCAAAATTTTTTAGTAAGTATGACACAAATCAGTTGGCCATAATTGTATATCTTGTTAGGTCCTTTAGCCTTGCTTTTATTTAGTCTAGGAGCAGGTTTTTAGGTGGGGGCCCCACTGGGTGATTTCCTGCCATGAGATAAGGGGCCCATGGGGCCCCTGGCTCTGAACTTGTCTTCTGGCATTAGGGTGGCAGGGCCACCTTATACTGTAGGACCAGGGTACTATCACCAATAGCCATTGTAAGCAGGAATCTACTGAGTGACTCTGCTGCAGTCCATGATATGGAATCAATAATGAAAAGAGGAAACCACAGGATCAATCCAAATGTTCAGGCTTGAAGGAATGAAGGTCTTTCGGGATAGAAATCTAATGCTGCAAGCAACACCTGCCCAAGCAATAGAACAAAGAATAGATTGTGTTACCCCAAGGCTCTCCTCTTGGGGCCCTAGATAAAATGTAGTAGTCTCAGTGGAAATCTCCCAAGAACGAGTGGCAATATTTCAGTGCCTCAAAACTGGGGAGGGGGAAGACAATCAAAATTTGCACTTCCTGTGCTTGATATACATCTTGGAAGAACAATAAGGTAATTGGAAGAAAGGTGGGATTAAGGTGAAAATGACAAAAAATGAATCAAGTGAAAAGCTTTAAAACTGAAGGAGATATTCAAAAATCAAGTCAGAATAGTGAAATATGGCTTAGCCAAGCTATTTCTCCTCTCCTACTGAATAGATTCCCTTGGGGAATAGTGGAACTGGTTTCCCTGAATGTACCCTTTATTGTACATAAGATGGGTAGAGAATAATTGCCATTAATAATCCAAAAAGCAGAGGCAATAATCAAATGGGACATGGGGGAGTTAAATTATAGAAGGCTGAGTTCTTATCAGATCATTGGCACCACAGAGTCCAGAAGCCTACCATAATGGATATGCCCATAATAGGAGAGTAAAAATATGCACATAGAAGTCTAAGGAAAAGTTGTGCCAGACTGAGATCCTTTGGCATGTCAAGCTTAAACTCAATGACAAGGAACATGAATCCACTAATCATATAGATCTGCCAAATATCTGTCAGAGAAGCCTGCATAAGTGAAAATTGATACTGACTTCATGCTTGACCATGCCTCCAGTTGAGTATTTGGTTGCTGTCATTGCCTCTTCTGGTACATCAACCATTTGACCTTGAAACAATGCAATGAGAGGAACAATGTACTGCCACATTTGCCATTAATCAGTACAAAATACTTGGAGTCTTGGTTTTAGTGACATACCAGTTCCAAAAGTCTCACTCTTGCTGCCTCTTTCATTTGTTCAGGCCTCTCACAATAGACCTTGTGCCAACACCAACCAAAACTGTTTGTGATTGGCCACAGCAGAAGCATGTTGTAAAATTCAACAGAAACCCCCATTGCACCAGACCCTCTTATTAACAGGTTACGAGACTTGCTGTGGCCTGCCACTTAAGCACTTTGTGATCCTGGCAATTTCCAGTGTTGAGTGAGCCAGAAGTTGCTGGCCCTCAAGAGAGCATCCAAACACACTAACACCATCACTTATATATATAAATATCACATAAAATATTACAGAAGGATTTCATAGAGAAATGTTGCATAAGCTCCTATGTCTACATAAGCACCCACAGGCAATATGCATGGGGGGATTTTGTTGAAACAACCTTGGGGTCTACATGTGCCTCTGAAGGTCTGTGTGCAAGTTTGAATCTGGGTTGTGGGATGTTTAATTAGTGATAAGAATTGTGGTTCTCTTCAGCCTGTTCTAACTACATCCTCTTCTACAGCTTCAGAGACTAAATGATTTTCCTGATGTGGATGACTCATGGCCTTTTAGTCACCTTTGTCAATCTGCAGCTAAGCTTAATGTGTACCTAGCAAAGTCAAAGGAGGGGACTTAAGGTTCCCAGAAGAGGAAAATGGCATTTCTGGGGCTATTTTCTACCCTTCCACACAGAATGACCTCAAATGGCTCAAATGGGACTCCTTTTGGGGTCAGCCTAACTTAGGTGATCTATTCTGCCCCATTTTTCTAGCTTTCATTGGTAATGAAAGTGGCAGACCAGACTGTAATGTTTGGATAATATGGATCACACTTTTGAGACCATTTGATATCAAAAACCTTGTTTGAAAGTCCCAAAGTCCTCCTCTTGAAATTATTTGATATGAAAGGATTTTGATGTCTCATAGGTAAATACTCTCATAGGTCTCATTGCAGTCAAGAAGGGCCCACTGAACTCAACAAGTCATGGAGATGAATGCAAGGACCAAGCAAAACAGTACCTTGAACTGGCAGCACTAAAGGCATAACTCCTTCAGCTCCATTGTTACCTCATACAGGGCAAATACACAGATCTTTTTATGCTTTCATATGGGAGCTTCAACACAGTACATGCTTTTGTACACAACATGCCCACCATGGAGAGCAATGATGATGGTACCCCTTCATTCATAACTGAGTTGTGCTCTCTCATGAATTCTTGTCCAGTCACTGAGTTGAAATACCCTACAAACTAACACTCTGTGAGATTTCACACTGTCTCAAAACTATTTGCTGATGATACTGTACCTGCATCTGCCAAACTCCACTATCCAACCAGTCCAGGCCATATCCTGCTAGACTGTCAAGGGCACATGGTCACCTCCTGGAACCTTGGTACATCAACAATGTCATCCAGTATTTGCCTTACATTGATTGTGAGTTAAGGCCAGGAGCATGAATATGGTATACCCAACTTCATTCATTGTTAACACCAGAACTGGCCTTCACAATGACATTCTCATCACCATCATTGGGGGTAAGAAGTCACCAAACTCTGTCATGACAATCAATGAAACAAACAAGTGACATGATACTTACAACTATGGTTGCTGAAGTTCAGGTTCAAACCCTGGAAACCTAAGTTCAAACCTGAACCTCTACCAGCCTTAACAGTAGATGGATGGAATGGCTTTCACTCATTTATGGCTGAGATGTTTGCAGGACTATGTATGGCCTATATAAACTTTGCATGAGTATTTGATTTCACTTCAAAATAATGTGTTTCTTAACCAAGGAACCTGCTTCCATAATTCTGGATTATGGTTAAAATCAGCACTCAGGGATATCTCTCATGTTTGAGGGGGACCATGGTTTCAGGTTTGCCTGGGGTTAAACCATAACATAACCTGAGGTTAGGTTCAGGTTTGGTTATGGTTCAGGTTTTGCCCAATGGGGGTAAAACCTGGCCTGAGTCTGAATTTGGCAAACCTATCTACAACAGTGTAAGGCCAGAAGGCCTCAAGTGAACCTATCATTATTATCAGGTAACAGCAACATGTGCCAATCCAACCATGAAGCTCACTTATAAGAAACCTCCTGTGTCCCCCCTGATGAAATCATCATTGTAGATTGGGTACTAACTCAAGATCAAGTCCTAGAACAGGCAATAAAACCAATAAACCTCTGGCTACAGGTTAGTCAATCTGCTTCTAGTCCATTTGTTTTATTGTGCTCATGAAGTTCAAGACAAGGTATCAAAGTTACTACCAGGTCAAGGACAAGGATGACAACAGTGAGGGTGGTGGTGGCAACATTGGAAATGTGGATAAAGATGCTCCCCTGGGGACATACTTTTATCCTGAAATAAGATGCCAGGTGCTGCAGATCTCTTGGGTGTCAAAGGACAGTAAGGCTATCTGGATTTCATCTTGACCACTGCTATTCTTGAGATCAAGACAGCATGGAATTATTCACACTCACAATCATGCCAAATTTACTCATCAAAGGTCATTGATCTCAATACTGAAGAGGTCATGTGGCAGCTGAAAACTGCAGGACACACACTTCTCAGACAGGTCTGTTTCTGCTACATTGGATTCTGGATTTTCTGGTCTAGAGTAGAAAATAGCTCTACAGTGAACTTCATTTTCTCCATGCTAGCTGGGGTGCCATATGCAATGATGAATACATCATACAGTGTTTGCATACAAGCCATTCATCAAGAAGCAGTGGTGTCTCACTTTGTCAAGCCCAGTATGATGGACCAGTGAGAGTGCACTTCCTGCATTGCTAGGCCTCTGCTTAGTGAGCATCAATGCTCTTGGGGATGGGGATCTGGCAGGTATCACCTGGTGTCATTCAAGTGTCAGTGAAGGAAGATACTTGTTTCCATGTTGAGTGGCCTAGTGCCCACCTCTCCAGTGACTGCCCACTTTTGTTTTGGGCCAGGGGTGAGATAGATATAATGGCCCAAGTTGTCCTTCCAATGTATGTCTCAATGCAAAGTTCCAGTTGAAGAGGAACAAAGACAAAGATAGACAAATGTTAAAATTACACTTGTGTCCATACATGGGGTACAACTCAGTGAGGGAGTGTGTATGAGGTATCCATTGTCAATATATATGGAGATGGGGAGCTTTGTATCACCAACCACTGTATCTTTCACAGCCATAATTTTATCTAGAGAAGGTATTATTTAGGGGGCTTCCAATAAGAATATAGATGAATGGGGTATACTGGAAACAACTAGAGTTCCAAAATGAGACCCTAGCTTTTGAATGATGGAAAGGTTGCAACTAACCCCAGGGGGTAAGGCACAAATCCCATATTGGATATGTTGGATAATAAGTTCCATCTCCAGAATTGGAGGGATAGCTCAGTTGATAGAGCACCTGACTGGAAGGCAAAGAGGTCCCAGGTTCAAACCCTGGTTCCATCAAATAACATGCCAGAATTTGTAAGAATGAGTAAGTCACAAGTGACATCCAAGTCACCTCCAACAACACAAGGCATGGCAACATCATTGGATCCCAATGTCATCTCTAGCCATAGTTCATGCATATGGGCACCAGTGGGCTTCTCAGTTGTGGCATTACTATTGAAAAGATGAAATATGGGTTTGTCTGATGGAGAGCATGGAGGGTACTTTCTGGCATGAGCCTAACATACTTATCCTTGGTCCCCTCCATGTCACCAGTGTGAGTTGGGCATTTGATTTTAATATTGCCTGTTTTCTTTAAATGGTTTTCCTTCAAGCATCACCATCATCTCCTCATCAACATTGTCATTAAGTAGATGCATATCCTTGAGATGAAGTTTTCCATAGGTATGGGGAAGCACTGACTGCCAGATACCTGGGTTGTTTGAGTTAATGAGCAACTTAACATGGCATTGATTACAGTGGAGAAGCATCCTTGTGGGTTGAATGTACATGGAGACTAGAACTTTCTGGCACAGTGCAAAAGAACAGCAGGACTTTCAATTTCAAGTTTATTAATTGCTAGTATATATGTTTGTAGGTATGGTTACTTATCCTCATCACACATCATATCCTGGTGCAGTTTAAGAAAAGCAAGAAAGGGAATTGCAATCCCACATTCAATCCTTACACAAGCTCAGAACACTATCATCAAGGCACAAAACAGACAGAATAGTCAAAAGGGATGTCAAGTCCATCATTATTGGTCATATAAATATCCCACATCATGCTCTTCAAGTTCCCATTCCAAATTCTTGATATGGCCCCCAAATCATCCATAGCATCCATCTCAGTACATGGGGGCCCCTCCTTGCAGCACAGCAAGTTCAGTCACAGAAGCAGGCCTCACAACCAACCAGGATGACCATGGTGGATAAGAGTCTGCCACCTTGACTTCATACTAAGCAAAAAGGAGGAAGACCTTTTTGATTTGGACATTTCCAAGAGGCTTGTACAGCATACACAGTGTTTATGGACTACATATGCCCTGGAAGGAAAAAGATGTGGTGGGACTCACACATTCTCTCTGTTTCTTGCAAATTCCAACCTTCCTGCAAGGGGGGAGGAACAGGGTTGAGAGCAGGTGATAATACAGCAAAGAGTAATTAGGACAGATAATTTCCTGTGGCAAAAAAAGCAGATCCTTGATTGTGAGCATGGATAAAATTACATTGATTGCCCATAAGAACAAGCCAGCATGATGACTGAGAGGACCCTGAATTAAAAACCAGTGGAGACAATGGCTACACATCGGAAATACAAACAGAAGTTTACAGTTCTGTCATGGGTCACTCGGTGGATGGGGAAAACAAGAATCTTTCAAGGCCATCGGACTTCAATTTGGCATACTTGATACTATACTTGTAAAGAATGAAAGAACCCGATCTCTTATCACACACACCCTTGATAGCACCAACACAAAATAAAATAAAGTTGCAATTCACCATCAATGCCGCGGGCGGGCCAATTTTCTCAATGCCCTAAGCAGAGAAGCGCCATTAGAAAAGCGTGAGTGTGAGTGCATGCACGCATGGATGAATTGAAATAAATATTGATTGCATCACAAGGGGGGTAGGGGGGCATGCAAATTAGGCACGCCCAGCCTCATATACATAATTTTTAATGAAAATCATTACACAAAAATACTTTCACCGCGGATGCAGCAGCATTGTATGGGGGGGGAAGAGTTGTTCCGCCCTCCCCCGCCTAATGTTTGATCCTTAATATGGCAGATGTGGCGGAGATGGGGGGGGGGAGGTACGCGCGCTAAAGGAGCAAATAGGAGATAACGGTATATGAGTTTTTAGGGTCTGAAACACGAGGCGGAGTTTCTCCTTATCTATCCCTTCAGGAGGCGCACCCGGATTGAATGGCGACACCGCAGGGACCAGCCAAGTGGGAAAGCACAGGTTTCCGCCGCCGTGAAGCTGGGATCCGGAAGGAATATATATATATATTTCTATTTCACTCGCCCATTCCGCCCTTGTTTTCCTGGGTGGCATGCCAAGCTAGCCCAAATAAGGCCTCCCATGATGCGTTAGAACCCCTTACAGACCATACCACAGTGCACGGCTATGCAACTTGATCGCCCGTCACGCAAGTTCCGAAAGTGAGCTCCGGAGAATAGGGCGATGAAACAAGAGAAAAGAGCGGCGGACCATGAATCGTCAAGTGGGAAAAAGCAAGCCTGCGACCCTGACCCTGCAGATCAGGATTTGTTCCATGCAACGACTTGCAATCCGTGAGGGATACAATGGACCTTTGAAAAAAGAACAAAAAAAAGAGGCATCACTATCAAATCAGGGCTGGTGCGATATGTGCGTAGAAATGTGGAGGACGGGTAACCCTGGCCAAGTCTTGAGGTCCTGACGGCGAGCCACGCTTAGGAGCCAATGTCAGAGCAAGGCGTCGCCTGATGCGCGGCCGAGTGCCAAACTTAGAATGTCTTACGTTACCAGGACCTGAGGCAGGAAGCTTTCTTGGCAATTTCGCAGTTGTTTTTCTATTCGGGCGAGAAAGGCGTCCATAGAGATAACCTTCGCAATTTACAACATGAGACCAAGATAGCACCAGAAATATGCAATGGAAAAAAATCAATTGACGTAAATGTAAGGGGGGTTCTTCTAACGATTTTATAGTTCCCCAAGTAAGTGATGCGCGGTGCGGAAAAAGAAAGAGATGTAGGAGAGACAGCTTATTGCGTCTTCGCCTTCACCCGGTATTGTTCGCAGGGCGGCGAACTGATTCGCCCTTCTTGTTGCGGTAGAAGACAACATCACCTAAGAAGCAGATCGTTAAATGAAATATTCAGACCATCGCGCTTATCTTCACTCACCCTCATCCTCGACGAATTGGCAGTTGTTGTACGAATCCCAGAGAGCGGTGAAGGGGTTCTGGTCCGAGGCAGCATAGTGCTCGCCGATGAAGGCCTTCAGGTACTGGGTGGCCTCCTCTCCGTGGTAGAAGGGCATTTGCGGGAAGAAGTGGTGAATGACGTGGTAGTGAGCGACGTCATGCAAGAAGAATCGTCCCCACCAGCCGAGGAATGGTCGGTCGACAGTGCAGGCAGCGCCACGTTGGAATGACCACTCAGCCTTGCGGTAGTGGGGGAGCTTCATGTCGGTGTGGTGCAACTGAAAACACAGGTCAGATAGGGTGAATAATAGATAGCCGGGATCACGTACATAGGTGATCATGATGAACCAGTGGGAGACGCAGAGCCACGGGAACATGTAGTACTTGATAACCTCTCCGGTGCCCCAGACAGTGGAACCATAGGTAACAGCCCAGATCATGGCGAAGATCCGAGATTGGAAGCGATGACGGCATTACGTTGGGAAGGATTGAAAATGACGGAGTTGGGATCAAAGTGGTTGGTCCTAAAGAGGGATGAGCATAGGTAATACGTACAAGGAACGAAGCGACTAACCATTTGGGGTAGGACTTCTGGCCCGAGACGTTGAACAGGAGGTAGGCGGGGAAGGCCAGGACTTGCTGGCGCACAAGCATGTAGAGGGTGAAGAGAGGAGTGTCACCGAGGTAGTGCTCCCAGTCAATCTCCTCAGTCTTGCCCAATGGAATCCCGAGATCAGAGCGAGTCTTGGGGACGTAAACCTCATCCTTCTCCATCGAAGCGTGGTTGGAGTGGTGGCGGTGATGGGAGATTCTCCACGAGAAGTAGGGAGTCCACATAAGAGTGTGCGTGATGAAACCAACAATATCGCAGACGGTGCGGTTAGCAGAGAAAGCGCCGTGCCCCGCCTAGGAACATGGCAGTGAGTTTACAACCTCAAGCTCGAATCAGAGAAGGCTTACCTCGTGCCCAATAACCCAGATACCAGTGAAGTTAAGACCCTGCACCCACCAGTAGGCGCACCAGAGCGACCAGCGGAAAACCTCTGCACCGACAGGACCAAGGGTAGAGCGAGCAAGTTCCGACTTCTCAGCGGGGTCGATGTACGTGGCGGCCCACCAAAGGATTGCGGCGATGACAAAGTCGCGAGCCATGTAGCTGAGGCCACGCCCAGTCTCGCGCACGAAGAAGCGCGCCGGGATAGCAGCGCGAATCTCGCCCAGAGACCACATCATGGGCGAGAACTCTGGAAGGTTTTCCTCAGAGTACTTGGTAGTCTGCACCGCAGCCATGATACAAGAGGAGGAGGGGGAAAAGGGTAAAGAAAGGGCATTGAGGAGAGGAGGCTCTTATACAGCGCAGGTGAATGGTCACGCCACGGGAAATGAGTCCCGGAGCTGTCAAATGGAAATCAATAGTGGCGTACAATAGTCTGAATATCACATCATTTCATGGGAACCCTCTCAGGGTGCGCTTGTCATTCCCTGGATAATCTAGACAGCAATCCGCGTTTATTACGAATTCCACCTGCCGGATCTGTTTTTTCGGATGCAAGGGTTCTGTGGGAGCGGTGTGGGAGCTTATCGTCAACAACGATAAGAACAATCAAAACACCGCCAACTCGCCCTTAGGGACCTCGGCATGCCCCGTGTTGGCGTAAGCCACCAGATCCAACGAACACAGACTCACAGCCCTTGAAGACGTTACCGAATAGTGAATCTCTGGAATTGAATTGAACTTCCTTATTACGACTCACCGCCACGATCGTTGGACCCATCTTTGAGATAGACGACCCACACATCTTGCCATGGGTCTCCCAAATGTCCGGTACCTGTCATACCCAATTCAGAGTCAACGGGTCTAGCAGTCCGCAACGCAGGCTTCAAAGGAAGACCTGTCCGATCTTTGTATTCTTTCCCTTAGGCTACAAGACGTTTTGAATGACAGATGCGCAGAATTCCACCTCAATCTCCGCGACCCTGTATACGATGGTACAATTGCACAATCCATCCACATCACCGAATTCTGAGTCACGATAAGGCCTCCCTTCTCCTGACGATTCCACCTGCTCGGTTTATGTATCGCCGAATCCCATCATAATCTCCTT